CTCTGGGGAAGAACTGAGAGCAGATAGTGCCCATGCAGGCCGCAGCGGGTGGCTGCATCTGTCTGGACCACCACTACTGGGAATTCAGTCACTACAGGAGCAGAGCAAGGCAGGGGTCAGCACCACAGCATGGAGCTGGAGCCCACCCCGGCCCCATCTGCCGCCCCTGCACCTACGGTCCTGCCAGGAGGAGTAGAGAGAGTTCTCCTCCATGGGGACAGTGGGGCTGGGCTGGATCCTAGTGCTGCTCTGCGCCATCTCCTTTGCACCCTGAAACAGAGGTATGTGAGTGCAGCCCCCAGACCAGGGGAGCATGAGCCCCGCTTCCTGCCCACGTACCCTGGAGACCCCTGGCTCACCCAAGCCAGGAACAGTGTGGAGTCCCGGCTGTGCCGGACCACGTGGTACCTGGAAGGCCAGCTGGCAGAGCTCAGTGATCCACTCATCCCGCTGCTCAGCTGCCAGCACGTAGCTCTTCTCTGTTGTGGTGAGGTAAAAGGCGGCAGTGGCTTTGGGGCAGCTCTCTGTGCCCGCCGGGCCCACAGAGACACAGTCCGAGAGGCGGATCACCCGGCGGGCACACCGCCGCAGGGAGGTCTTCTCCAGTGTCGTGCCATCATCCCGCACGTCGAACTTCTCCATGCGGGCCACGCCGGAGGGGCTGGCAGCGAAGAGCTGAGCTCGCATCTTCCTCCAGGACCTCTGGGGCACGGGAAGGGCAGAGGCAGGGAAAAAAAGGGTCAGCAAAGAGCTGCCTGCTGCGTCCTTGCAGTACTGCCCTCCATGCGGGGCTGGCAGTGCTCAGGAAGAGCCATGCAGAGCAGGAGGGGACACAGGGGGCTCCCTGCCCACACCCGCCGGGTCCTGCAGGAGGGCACAGAGAGCCAGGGCCAGTGCGGACCCCCAGAGCTGTGGGGCAGGGCAGTCCCAAAGCTGGGTCGAGGGGGGACCTTGCCCCAGGCGAGCTCGGCATAGCTTGCTGGGTGAATCACGCTCACTCCTGGCTTGCTGAGCACCAGGTCCTGCTCTTTGTTCCCCACTGCAAGTGCTGGCCTGCCACCGCTGCAGCTGAGCTCCCGAGCTGTTCTCAGGACAGACCCTGATGCAAATTAAAGCCATTTTGAGCTGCTGGGGCTCCTGCTGGCAGCCTCACATCTGCCAAGCATGGCCAGGCCCTGCAGCTCACAGCCCGCTTCCTCCCAGGGGAGGCTCTGCGGCACCAGCACCTTCCCAGCCCATCATGGGATAGAGTGGGCGCGTGCCCCCTCGCACCTCAAAAGCGCAGCAGAGCCTCCGCCCTGCAGAAGCCAGATGCAGATGAACACCCAAAATACCCACTGCTGCCAGCCCGTCTGCCTCCTACACAAAGGGCAGCAGCCCCACGCACGCAGGGCTTGCCCGCTTCAGCTCCAAGACTTGGCTCTCACATGGCGGGGGGAGACGGGAGCATGATGGGAGCCTGGCACATCCACAGAGCCCCCCATGGGGGGCATGGCCACCCCACTGCAGCAGAGGGGATGCCGCCGAGGCATGGCCAGCATGCCAGCAGGACCTGCTTCACCAGCACCCATCTCCCTAGAGCTGGCTCAACCCTGTGAGGCCTCCCATCATGTCACCCCATACCGTGCCCAGAGGGCTGCGGCCCTTGGTGCCCACCCCGAAGGCCCAGGGCAGCAGGCCAAGCCACGAGGGGTGCCCCACAAGTGGCACTGGTCCCCCAGGGCCAGGCTTGTGGAGAGCTGGGTGCAGAGCCACGTCCCACGCCCTGCCCCGCTCCCACACACCCGCTGGAGCTGCACCTCATTAACATGCGTTTATTGTTTCATTGCGAATCGCACGGTGACCAAGCGAGAAGAGGGATCCCACACAAGGGTGAGCCCGAGCAGGTGCCGGCACAGATGAGTCCCTTTGGCCGTGAGGAAGAGTCCAATTCCTGGGCCTGCGGAGCCCAGGGCCCCTCAAGGCAGCTCTGAGGTGTATGGCTCCAGTCCCCCCTCCCCATTCTGCGGAGGGCCCGGCCCCAGGACCAGCATCGAGACAGATCAGGGCAAACCCTGTACCCAGCCCCAAACCCACCCTTTACCTTTCCAAATTTGCAGTGCTGCACATAGAGGATCCCATCTTTCACCGGTCTCTCCATGGGCTCAGCGCCACCCTGGCAGCCAGTGCAAGGACCAGGGACTCAGGCTATACCAGCAGCGGAGAAAATGTGACTGCTGCAGCCGAAACAACTGCACGGGGTAGACTTCCTTCTCTCAGCAACTTCCCCTTTTTGGTGTGTGGGATGAGGGGCAGAGGCTGGGCCACAGGAGGTGTCTGTCCATCCGCCCTCCCCCTCAAAGAGGGGCAGTGGGGCAGAACACGTGCAGGCAGAGCACAGGAAGCGCTGAGGGGACCGCCCGACACCCCTGCCCTGGCTGCATCAGAGCGTGTTTTGGGGATACAGGGGAGGCACAAAAACAGGTAATGGGGATGGTCCCAGAGGAATCAAAGGGCGTTGGAGGGGAGCGACGTAAGACCCTGTCCATGCCACTGTGGAGGGCTGGCAGGGGCAGCAGGCAGCTGGGCAGCTGGCCACTGCCCAGCCAACCGCACCTGGGGCTTCCTCCTCCCCTCAGGCACCGGAACCTGCTTGCCCAACATGCCACTGACGTAATGGACTGTTGCAGCACAGCTCCACGTTTCCTCCCGGGGCAGGAGCTTCACAGGCTGAGCTGGCAACTGCCCCAGTGGCCAAATGCCTGGAAAAGGGACCACAGCAGTGCAGGACAGGCTCCTGGGCTTGGGAAAGATGAGGGCAGCTGGGGCGCTGCCAAGGCCTGCACAGGAGGAGTGCAGGGCAGCATACACCCCAGGCTAGAAGTCCATAGAGCTGTGGGCCAGGTAGTCCTTGCGGCCGATGTTGCTGACTTGCTTGGTCTGCATCGCCTCCAGCTTGGGGCAGTCGGTGATGCGATGGCCCAAGCCGCCGCAGAAGGCGCAGCCCCGCTCACCTGCAACAGGAGGGAGGAGATCAAGAGGAGCTGTGCCATGCCAGGAGAGCGCCGCCCGCCCCCCAACCCCAGAAGCAGAGGGGCTACGTCAGTGTCTCCCGCCTCCGATGTCACAGCACCAGGCTGCCTGGATGGCCAGGCAACGACAGCCCCGAGCCAGGAACCATCCCAGGAGCTGGGGGTCCCATCTGCAACCTGGGTCTCTCCACAGCCTGGCGGGGGGGCCCCGTGCCAGCCTGGGGTCTCTCACCTCCGATGTCCAGCATGGTCTCATCCCCGCAGTGCAGCACCTGGAGCACAGGCGGCACCTTCTGCTTCGCCTCCAGGAGAAGGGCCTTCAGGTCCATCAGCACCGACTCATCTGGGGGAAGAGAGACAGATCAGACACAGTCCAAGCAGAGGTGGGGGGCACTGCCCCACACCACCATCTCCCCTCCACAGGACACCATGACTAGTCCCTACTTGCTCAGGAACAGCCCCCCTTGCCATGGCAGAGGCAGCTCCATCGCCCAGCTGCCTCGTACAGCTGCAGCCCCCAGCAGACAGCCCCCAGCCCCAGGCCATTTCTCACCGCAGGCCTTGTTGATGAAGGTGGTGGCAATGCCAGTGTTGCCTGAACGGCCTGTACGCCCGATACGGTGAACTGTGGAGAAAGAGACAGGACCAGGCCGGGATGAATGCGATGTGACAGACCATCCATGCACTCAGCCACTGCAGAAACAAGCATGGAGCCTTGCTGTCCTCTTCACCCACCCCGTCATGCCCTAGACCTCACCATAGTTCTCAATCTCCTCTGGCATGTCATAGTTGATGACATGCTGGATGGCTGGGAAGTCCAGGCCCTTGGAAGCAACATCAGTGGCAACCAGGACATCCTTCTTCCCATCCCGGAAGGCCTCAATGGCTTTTGTCCGTTCCTCCTGATCTGCAAAGGCCCACCAGAGAAGATCAGGAAGGGCAGAGCTCCCAGTCCTATCTCTTGCAGCAAGTACTATAGCCTCAGAGCCAAGCATCGCTCAACTAGGGCTCCCCCAGCAAGAGGGCCGATGCAGGTTTTTCCCAAATAAAGGAGCAGAGAGACTTCTGGGTCCTGCAGGGACCTGCATTGCGTTCGTGCCTGCTACATACAACGTGGCATTCGCTCCCAACACTGCCACAGTCCTTCCTCACACCATCACAAACTGCTGCATGCTGGGAGCTCCTGCGGCCATGTACAACCCTGGCAGGAGCAGGGTCAGGCAAGGCCCCACTGCAGCCCAGGTCTCCCCAAGACCCACACTGACCTTTCCCTCCATGGATGGCCACAGCTTCCACACCCTTAAGCAGCAGGTACTCATGGATCGCATCAACATCCGCCTTCTTCTCTGCGAAGATCAGCACCTGCAGCAGCACAGACATCATGGAAGAGCCGCCCTTCTGCGGGCTGGCACTACTGGCACCAGCACAACCCCTCAGGAAAACCGCTCCCTCTTGCTGAGCAGAGCACACAACAGCTCTAGGCCCAGGCCCTGCTCATATGTGGAGCGCAGCTCACTCACACACCTACCCCACACACAGCAGAGCCCCACAGTGTCACAAGTTGCATCCCCACTGCCAGCTCCACCCGTGCCCTGGGGCTGCAGTACGTCCACACTGCCCCCAGCCATGCTGCCAGAGCAGCTGGTGCACACTACTCACGGGCGGCGGGGTTTTCTGCAGGCACTCGAGGAGGTACACCATCTTGGCCTCCTCTTTCACATACTCCACCTCCTAGGAACAAGCACAGGGATGGGTCAGGCAAGCAGCAGAGAAATCGCTGTTGCTCAATATCCCTTAACTCATTGGGAAGGAGGGACACAAACCCCAGCTCCCTGACAAGGGATGCATCAGGTGCCCTCGTGAATGGCGTTTGCCTCCTACAGAGGCATGGGGGAGCACCCAGCTACCTCACCTGCACAACATCCAGGCTGGCAGCACCTGCTCGCCCAACGTTAATGGTGATGGGCTTCACCAGGGCACTTTTGGCAAAGTTCTGGATCTTCTTGGGCATTGTGGCACTGAAGAGGAGGGTCTGCCGCTGGCCCTGTGCAGGGAACACAGCACAGGCAAGGATTTAGCACTTGCCCAACCAGGTGGGTGCAGGGATTGAGCTTCAGGGTGGTCATATCGTGCCAGCTCAGTACCTTGAAGTACGAGAAGATGGTACGGATGTCCCCCTCAAAGCCCATATCAATCATCCTGTCAGCTTCGTCCAAGGCCAAGTAACGGCAGATGTCCAGGCTCACCATCTTCTTCTGCAGCAGGTCCATCAGGCGGCCAGGGGTTGCCACCATCATGTGTACACCACTGCAGGATGAGAGGCCACAGTCAGGCACTCGGATTCCTGCCCCCCACAGTGACACATAGGGAAGGTAACACACGCTTGGCACATCGCCTTCAACCCCACACCTTCCTGCTGGGATGCCACCCTTAGTCCCCTGCCAGAAAACAGAGCACAGCTCCAGCCCCACATTCCCCCTCCCTGAGAAAGTCTTACTGTTTGATTGTCTCCATCTGCTCCTTAACAGACATGCCCCCGATGCAGAGGGCACAGCGCAGTGGGGGCAGGCCGTCCTCCTGCAGTAGGCGACAGTAGAACTCAATGATGCCATGGGTCTGCCGGGCCAGCTCCCGCTGCAGAGACAAAACTTACTCATTCCTACACCCTCATGCAGGAAGGATCTAGGATTGCCACTGAATATCAATCAAAGCTTCCTCCCACACATCACTGTGCCCCCAACACTCACCGAGGGACAGATAATGAGTCCATAGGGTCCCTCTCGCTTGGAAAACGGTAGCCTCTTCTCCTGCTCCAGGCAGAACATGATCACCGGGAGGGTGAACACCAAGGTCTTCCCAGAGCCAGTGAATGCAATGCCAATCATGTCCCTTCCCGAGAGGCTGGCAGAGAAATGGGGCCAGTGGTGAGGAGGAGCATCACAGAATGGCTCAGACCTCCAGGGCTGAGCAAGGTGACGGGGCGCATCTGTCACCCAGGAAGAGCGCCCGGTTCACAGCGCTGGGTGGGCTGTAGGGAGCAACCGCTCCCCTCTCTGGGACGGGGACAGAGCACTCACATCGTGGGGATGCCTTGGATCTGTATGGGTGTTGGCTGCTGGATTCCCTTTTTCTTCAGGCCCCTCAGGATCGCTGTCACAGAACAAGAGACATGCGCATTCATGACCTGAATCCTTCTCCCT